CCCCAAAACCCCAAAACCCCAAAACCCCAAAACCCCAAAACCCCGTAAATATCTAAGAGTATTGATTTCAGAGTTTGATTAGTGAAATTTTATAAAAATGGCTAATAGAAGCATAAGAATTCACAGGTGACTTTTGTACCAACTCCTTCTTTTGACTTCAAGCTGATCTTCCCTCCTAGCTTCTCGCACAACTTCTTGCAAATGGTCAGGCCAAGCCCAGTCCCAGTCTTGTTCCGGTTGTGGTTGGAACTGGTCTTGCCGAAGAGTTTGAACAGCGAGGGTAGGTCTTTGTCAGGGATACCGAGTCCTGTATCTGTAACTGTCATTTCAAGTCAGAGTTCTTTATGATAGTCAGATAGATCATCTATAATTTCTTCCTCCTAAAGCGTTAATATGATCCATCTTAGTCATTTGCTTGAAAATATGGATTAACAACCACCAAGAAATAAGAACTATTAAATTTGACTATGTCTATTTTTGCCAGATCCCTAGAGTTTTTCTATGCTAAAATTTACCTGAAAATTACAGGATGAATTTTATTCAAAAATTCTAATAAAAATCACATACCTGTGATGTTTCTGAAATCCTTTGTTTTAGAGTAGGTTCTTCAATACTCTCATCAGATTTCGAAGGTAAAAATTCGAAGCTGTAGCTCCCAGGGTTGGACAAAACTCAATCATTAGACCTTTCATCAGGGATTTCATAAGAAATACTTTGAAGGGAATCGACTATAATGAGCCAAAGAACTTACAATTTCTAGACCAGAAATCTTGTACAAGGGTATGAACTGATTCCTTCACCTTGAGGTCGACACTGATGGAGCCTCTGTCAGTGAACTTGGTAGCGTTTGACAGCAAGTTCAACAAAATCTGCTTCAGCCTCTGCTTGTCAGACTTGACCTTGAGACCCTGAAGCTGGTCATCCATGTGGAAGGACAGGCTGACTCTCTTCATGGCAGTCTGCATTTCGAAGATGGCCTGGGTATCATCGAACAGTTCAGCAAACGTGAAGACAGATTCTTCGATCTGGAAAACTCCAGCTTCAAGTTTGGAGAAGTCAAGAATATCTTCAACAAGGCCTTTGAGAATGTCTCATGACGAAGTGGCTATTCTATGAAATCTGGAGGAAGTAGCAGCAACATCATCTTTCATTAAAAGCAAAGATAGCGACATAGAATTGAGGGGTGTCCTGAACTCATGTGACACATTAGACAACATCTGCCTCTGATAGTTGCTTTGTGCTTTAGCCTCCTCCAGCTGTGTTATTTGAGTCGTGTCAATGAACATTTGCAAGAATGTGTGGTTCCCATCTTTACACTCTGTAGTATTGACCTTGGAAGTCTTCACAATGAAGTCTCTGTACTCAAGCTCTCCTTCACTCGGCAACAAGTTGGAGTTATACGAGATCGAGACTTTGGTGCTTCTGCCAGCATTCTCACCCATCAGACTGAGTTCGCGCTCGTCTCACAAGAACTCCAGCAAACTGAACTGTTCGTAGCTGTCTTTGTGATCATTGGGTTCTGAACCCTTGGCTTCTTCGATTTTTGTGGTCTTGACTTTGACACAAAGTTTGCTCAGAATGTTGGATGTGAACTTCTGAGAATCCTGCATGCCAAGCAAACCCACTTCAGCTTTCTGACACATCGCTTCGAAGTCCTGGTCAATGGCATGTCTCATCCTCTGGAGTTTTTCGATTTGGTTGGCCTGGCTCTGAAACATGACAGGGTCGAAAGTCTGGCTGAGTTTCTTGTTGAAAAACTTGATCTTGTCTTTGGGACTGTCAATAAGGATGACTCCTTCGGGCAATCCCTGCAAGACTTTGTTCAACTGATAAGACACTTGTTTGGCTTGATAAGTTGAGAGGAACTCGAGCTTGAAAGTTCTTGAAATCAAGAAAGCATTGAAAGCGAATCATACTAAAGCTGAAAAGATTGCGACCTTGATTGAATTAGGAACATCTTTATAGTAATGTGTAAGTCAACTATATCAAAAGTTAATTCTTATTCTAAAAATTTAATCATCGATGTGATGAAAAATTTAGATGCCAGCAATAGTAATCCAGACAGATCTACTTTCTAAAAATCTCTTTGATATTTCTAATTGTTCTAGCTTACCTATAAATCATACCATAGGCAACTATGACTGCCAATGTAGATACCTTCCAGTCAATTATCAGACAAGTTGACAGCAAGAAGCATATGGAAATATGAAACAAGAATCCTTCATAAAGCCTATATCAAAGTTATTTACAAGTTCTAATTGGGTGAATAATGGTTGGGTTCTAAACTTTGGAGATGCTTGGGACCCTAGTCTATATGCACAGAAATGCTTTGGCGTTAGCTGCCTATTATTGGGATATTACAAACATTCTCCTCAAAAGATTCACCTAGTTTTACTACAAATTTTTTTATAAATTACTCGCTCTTGGTCTTATTAGAAGAATATGGTTCATCGCTCTTTTAATAAGGGCTTGATCTATTGAGCTGAAAACATGCAGGAAGAAGGTATTGATAACTTAGAAATATAGCATCTTTAAAGATATTGAAAATGCAGTGATTTTAAAAAATCCACCTAAATTTCGAATCTTCATTAATGATTATCGATACAGATATATGAACAGGTTTATACCTATTGAATTAAACAAGCTATAGAAATATGACTAGTGGGCTAGTACATGGACCTGTGATCCGTATTGATTGATCAACAATGAGTCAGAGCCAATGAAGCTTGTGCTTACCTGAGCTCAGGGACTTCCAAGTTCCTCTTGATAAGAAGTCCTCCAAGGACAAAAACAACAGCAATGGCTCCGTACTTCACAACGAAAGAGCTCTTTTTGATAAGGTATTCAAGTATAAACAGAAATAAGAACACAATCAAAGGGATCATCTTCCTATAAGCTGAGTCTATCTGGCTGTCAAACTGGAATAGCATGAACAAGATAGCAAAAGTCATCTTCAAGATAAGCAAGATAAAACTCCAATTAACCTTCATTGTCTCTAAACGATGTTGCTCATATAACTTCTTGATCTCTTTGTCCTTCATGTGTACACTCCTCCAAGCCCACTTAGCCTTGACTTCCTTCCAGATAAAATAATCCCAGAGTTCCTTAAGCTTGGTTGTTCAGGAAATGGATTTACACTTACTTATCCTACATCATATAACATTCTTTACCACTGTTGGAAGAGTTTTAGATGCTGACCCGTGTGAGGATTGGTCTTCCTAAAAACATATTATATGAGATCTTCTAAATTCACATCCAAAACGCCCTTAATTCGAAGCTTGAATTTTCGTACTTCAGCCATTTATAGATTTATTATTTCTATTGTTCTTCCCCATGCGGGGTTTTGGGGTTTTGGGGTTTTGGGG